AGCAGGTTGTGCAGAGTCATTGGCGTAATTAGAAGGTACCGCTCAATATTGCCTGTTAACATTAAACTCATGATTTATCATGCTCTTTTCCCGTCTGATATAAATTATTGTCACCTCGCGTGGGGCACAACAAGTTCGAATTTAAACAAAATACTGTTACTTCAAGCAAAGATACTACGTATCATTGCTGATATTAGCTACCTATATCAGATTAAACCGCTGTTCGAAATATTCAGGATTATTGTCATTAAAAATATGCACCTTTATCGTCCTTTGCCTTCCTTTTCGGAGCAAATGAATACATTGAATTTCTTTGGCGCGTCTCGGACTTGAATAAATAGGAAATCTCAATCAGTATGCGCTGCTCTGAGATACAGTATGTTCCTCATTCCCACACGAATTATGCTTTACAATCCCTTCGCCACACGTTACCTTATGTACTCTACAGGTACCATCTAAAAAGTACAGATATATACTCTCTGACTAGAGCTGAATTGTATATGTGTTTCATATAACGCGGATGTCTCTGTATGACATTTTTCTTTTTCTCGCTTTCGCATAATACGCATGCTGCTTAACGTTTGTGCGCTCTCACATGTTTACTCTGCTTATTGTTACTGAAGAACGTACCTAGTTGGCAAGAGAAACTTCATATGCCGTATAACGAGGTTTTTCAATGTATCACATTTTTCTCCCAGATTGCTATGCTTGCTTTGCTTTAGGGCTCCAGAACCAATCAAGTTACCATACGGTAGCTTTTTGTCTGGAGGACCGCCAGAGTAAATTTATGAAAATAAAGATTTCATTTAATTTTATTCAAATGCGCCGCGCGTACGCAGGACGTCCGCATCTCTCGGCCCTAGAGGCCGAGAGATCGTTTTAGGCGTCGTCCTTTAGGACGTCGTCCTCGACGCTGTTATGGACGTCGTCCTTGTAGTCATCCCAGAGGTCTTTCTTGACTTCGCCCTAAAGGTCATCGTACAAGTCATCCTCGACGTCGTGTTTGACGTCGTCGTCCTAGCAAGCAGATAAACCCGCGCTTCGCACACACGGAGCGGCAGTACGCACACATTCACATTTGCGCCCAAGAAGCCGTTATCGGTTAGAGTTTAGCTAGTTGGAACATGGTCAATGATGATGGTGAAGCTCCTTGAACATTGAGCGATTGCACAGAGACAGGACAAGACAGACACACAAAACTGTAATTAAAGTGGTGAAAAAGCTTAAATATGAAGCGATTTAAATGATACAGAAGATTAAACGTTTACACTGAGACGAAGCATTCAGTCAATTTCGGATTGGCGCGCTGGAGTCGCCCTTCCGTCAAATATTGCGCCTAGAACAATTCATAAAATAAAGTGTTCACACAAAATTCAAGTCGTCGTATTCACAGTGAGCTGTGTCTCGAGTCTCATGACGAATGCTGTCGCCATTCATAGACAACCAGCAATAGTGGTTGCTGTAGAAATTTGGTTTTTCTACACATGTCCAGCATATCGGGCGGCCTTTTGTTTTTCTGTGTAATCAAGAGAAGGGGACTTCAAACCCCAGCCCGCGGAAGTCCTCCGACCGACCCGCGGCTGGCCCTTCCAAGGAAACCCGGCCCGCGGTCCGCTTGCAGCAAAGCCGCTGCACCGTCGCAAATAGATGTGCGCCTAAACAAACACCAGAAGGAACGCGAGAAACTGCATCGTAATTGGATTCTCTCGTTATGACTGAACATTGTCATCCCCAGCATCATCATTCTTCGTGAACTGCTTTCTGTTTCTGCAGCCATTTTAAAATTACTTTGCGTTTTAATGTACTATCGTGGACACTAGCTGTTAGCTATAACACCGCAGCGGCGGCCGTCCCGTACCCCCAGCGCCTCATAGCAGGCGCCGTCCGAAACTCCACGCATGCGCCGTGTGGCGGACTCGCTCTTCCCGTTTGCGAGCACACCCTCGCTTTGTCGTCTGCTAGGCGCAGAGCAGGCGATGCCGCAGTGCTGCTCGTCTGGTACCCTGATCCTAGCGAACTGGTCTCAAACTCATTTTAAACCGGCGATTTTGATTGGGGGAGATTGCAGAGTCATTGAGGCATTATTCCTGTCTACGTTTTTTTTTTTTTTTTTTTTGCTTTTTCAGAAACAGGTTTTCGCAATGCATCTTTCACAATATGCGCTGGCACACCAGTATAAGCGCAGCAGGTGTGATACAGAAATAGACTTGTACTCCGTTTCACCTAAAGTCCGAATGCAGCGTGCGCTACAAAACGGCATAGCCAATCAAATAGCGGCAAAGGTGCAATGTCACGGAGTGCATCACCGGGGGACACAATAAGGTGCAAAAGTGAGCTTTTGTCGCTTTTGGTTGGCCCTATCGTCTCGTAGCGTCCGCTGCGCTTAGACCTAAAGTGAAAGGGTGTATAACTGCAAGTTTGTCCCATAAAAAAAAAAAAAAAAGTAGTCTACCGTGATATTACTATTAGTGGCGATGATTATCCTTAGCCAGCGGAGTCAGGAAATCAACCGTGGACACCACTTACGCGGTGGTTTGCTGAACCGTGTTCAGGGAAAATTGGCAAGCGCTGTGGCGTCGTCTGCTCCGTGCCTAGCAGACGACAAAGCGAGGGTGTGCTCGCAGGCAGGAAGAGCGAGTCCGCCATACGGCGCATGAGCGGGGTTTCGGACGGCGCCTGCTATGAGGCGCTGGGGGCACGGAATGGCCGCCGCTGCCGTGTTATAGCTAACAATGTCCACGATAGTACATTGTGTCCGCATTAGTTTTATCATTCTCGATAGTCTTTTGCACTGAGCGAATGTTCCTAAATTTTTGTGCGCTCTGATGTATGCTTGGCGAGCTTTCGGGGTCACACTTGTGGTGCAACCTCATAATTGGCTAAATATTAAAGTTCGAACTGAAATACATATGCATTCATCAAACTTAAGGTTGTTGGGTTTTTTTTTGGTTTTTTTCCTAACGGTTTCTCAATCATTATTTTTTAAATTCTTACCTAGGTTTATAAATTTAGTCTTTCCTCGTTTACAATTACTCTTTTTCTTCCCTGCCGTCGAGACAGCGACAGATACCTAACCCGGCCCCCTAGTCGAAAAGGCTGGAGACGTTTGATCTGGAGTGTCTCAATCAGAGTTCATTTGCCTAATGTGCTGTGAAAAGAAGCTAAAACAAAATTAAGTTCCTGAAATTTACGCGAGTACAAAGGGGGGGCCCCGTGGTTAACGTCAGAGCAAGACATCGCGAGCAGGGTATCTCTCTCAACGTTAAAGGGGTCATAAAAAGATTTTACAACTTTCGCTAAATACTACTTAGAAACGCTTCCTGACGTCAATAACTAAATACATTTGCTTTAGTCTTTTTTTTTCTTTCCAGGCAGTGACAGTCGCCCAAGAAAATTAAATAAATATAAGCATCGTTCATCCCCTCAACTCGGAGCCAGAACAAGCGTCTACATGGTCTGGTGCCTATCCTATGCCACCAACGTTAGTCATAGCCACGCACTGGGGTTGGCAAAGAGGAAACTTGCGTTTTGAGCTCCAGGGACTGTTAGAGTTCGGCTATCCTCATCACTGCAGTGGTTGGACACGAACCACTACCCGAGTGTCCGCCGAGGCATCGATTGTTACGAGCCGAATTCGAGTGCTCACGTAGTTGTCGTGTCCAATCCTTGAGCCACGCCCCACTGTCGTCAGGCGGGTGGTTTCGATCCCCCAATCACGTCATCAAGCTTTGCGAAGGCAAGACTGAAAGAAATAGTCCCCTTTTATCCTCGCAATTTCACCGCGACGAAGAAGCTTCTGAATCAGTGGCGGTCTGTGTGAGTATACTTGAGTCGTACTAAGACCAGCACGCCTCTAAGAGTCAGGAACATCCCTGCAAGATATCGTTTTATGACCCCATTAATTTAAATTTAATTTTTTGTGCATTTACATTTTTTCTCAGCAGTGAGCACAATTAACAGCAGAAATAAAATTAAGACACACAAGGAACCTATTCTGCGACGACACTTTCGCAACAAAGGACCTTGAAAAAAGACAATGACAATTTTCTCCCCTTTGCGTTTGTTTTTATTACCGCGCGCGAGACTCTTAAGGGGAAGCAGGAAGGAAATGCGATTCAGAACAGAGGCTCATTCACTACGAAATTAGACGAGAATAAATGCACGGGTAGCCAAAGTGTACATGCAGCAGCGTTTCAAAGGGAAAAACATAAATAGGCTCAAGGATTGGGCGCCGAAAGCACAAAAAAAAACATATATGGCTATAAAAAATCTAGGCGTCTACGTGATGACGTACCACAAGCACAAACATAGAAACTAAATAGTGTGAGAAAAAAGAAAAGAGCGGAAAAGGCGCCGAGAGAGAGAGAGAGGGGGTGGAGGAAAAGAGGCAAATGGCGTAGCGAGTCACGTGACCATACGCTCCGCAAGAACAGGTTTCGGACGGCGTCGGCCCAGGAAGAAACCTGCCGAAATGCCTCTTCTGCTATCGCAAACCGAAAACAGCGCGCGCACCGTTTTTAGCGTCTGCTCGCAGACGATGACTCCGCGTTCCTTGTCGTCTGCTCGCGTCTGAACCTTGCTCGCGTTCGTTGTGGTCCAGTGTTCTTCCTTTTTTGTTGTTGTTTTTTGCTGAGTCACCCGAGAGATCTGTGATGTTCTAGTAGACGGCTGACTTCAATTATTGGCGCGATTCGAGTCCTTTCGTCCCCAGACGAGGCCATTTCGACGGAGGTGCCTAAACTCGTCCAAGCCAGTCGCGTTTCTTGCCGCCTGCGAGACAGCGAACCTAAATTGCGACCGTCTCAGCTGAAGTCGGCTGTTTCTAGCGAGCCATCGTATAAACGTCGTGTGTTCTACGAGACCTATCACTTCAGCTCACGTGCGGTCAAGCTTCACCGGCGGTCAAGCCGGCTGACAGTGAGTGAAAGTGAAGCTGTCACGACGAATACCTTCTTGCGTCGAGAGCGGGGTGCTACGCAGCTGAGCGTGACGGCTAGGCCATGGTTCAGCTTGAACAGCAACAGAACGGCGACACGTTCGGCGAGACGGAGTACCTCGTTAGCCCCGCTGACATCGAGGATTTTCGAAAAGGGATCGAAGAGGAAGCTCAACGAGATCCAGGTATGAACGCGGGTAATGAGCTGTAGACCCAGCGAATTGACCCTGACCAACTGATTTGATTTACACTATTTGATGTCAGTATTTGAGAGAAGATCTAACTCTCACGACCCTAGTGGTTGACAAGAAAGTACTTGTTCGTTCTTGACGCAGCTTTCGGCCGACGCGGCCACACTCAGCGCCGGCATTTGCTTGGAGCTCATGTTCACTTAGTGAAACTCCGATTGATCGTGAGTTCAAGCCGAAAGCGGACGCAGTGCTCGTGTCGAATTCGGGCCGCAAACTCGATTGGGTAATATAACAGTATGAATACAGTCCATAGGCCTTTCATGAGAAACACCCAGCTGCGTGGCAAGCAAGCTGAAGTGGCATCTTTTGTCTTGTCGAAGTTTAGCATGGCGCAATATCTACAGGGTGTCACAAAAGAAATTTTACACGGTCTTTTTTAACGCAAAAATAAACTAGGCATCGCCGAACGCTCATTCTCCGCCCAAAGGTAGAGCTAGAGGTCACAACCCGATGCCAAAGTTACAGCCCAATCCGATAACTTAATAAAAAATTATAAGTGATTTTCTGAAAAAGTTAAATGGGAAAATGGAGCCCATTTTTGCCCGTTTTCGGTTTCTAGTGCAATAGAGCACCATGTGTTTGAAAACTCCGTCGGCCGCCATTTTCCCATTGAAATTTTCAGGAAATCACTTATAACTTTTGATTAAGCTATCGGATCGGGCTGAAACTTTGGCATCTGGTTGTGACCTCTAGGGCTACCTTTGGGCGGAGAATGAGCGTTCGGCGATGCCTAGTTTATTTTTGCGGTAAAAAAGACCGTGTAAATTTTCTTTTGTGACACCCTGTAGATGTGTACACATATAAAGTATACTAAATACTTTTTTTATTTTTTTATTAGGAAAAGTTAGAAGAACAAGTGACCGGCGACTGGGTTTGGTATATTTAACCGCTTATAATTTAGAGTCTCAATAGATTGACTTTTATACATCTCAATGAATTCTGGAAATTCCCTCGCTTATTTTGGGGTGATTTAATGTCAGTTGGAGCGACGAAATTCTGCAGAGAAAGATATTACTGGGTTTATTATTGGCACGGGCCAGTAATGAAACGTAAAAACTTGTCATCTGGCCATGTCTTCGATGATCTTGAAGTAAATATCTAGAAATTACGACATGAGAACAAACAGTTGGTACCAAAACGTATTTTGTCGCTTGCCTTACTCTCCATAACAATTTTGTGTCCCTCGATATTCACCGTTCACACGCGGGCCAAGCACGGCGGAACGAAAAAAGGGCGTGTTCGAGAATGGGCAGCTAAAAGGGGCAACTTTTGTATAAAACATACCCAGAGGGTAAGCGACTTTCGCAAAACGATTCACTACCCGGTTGCACATGCGCAGTCTTTTTTTTTTAAATTAATATTAAGATATCTCTTAACGTCATATAAAAAAAATATTTTTGCGGTTTATACTTTACAGTAGTCTTGTGTAAGTAAATAGAACTGCACTTCCTCATCCGAAGTTTGGTCTGTGATGAGAGTTTTGAATGCGACCAATATCAGACCATGCAGACAATGAAATATCAATCGGAAGTTTTTTCGTTTTTTTTTTTGTGCAGACTATAGTTGGTAAGGAATGATCACGGCAGTGCGTGTTTTTCTAACGCCCGCGGCATCCAACACGAGGTCCGTGCCTTCCGCCGTGCTTTAGGCTGCGCACCAGGGCTCCAGGTGCACGTAGACGCCGAAGCATTTTTGAAGGTAGGAAGCTCGCGCTAAGGGGCGGCGCCACCGAGGATTCTCCCTACCCTTCTCACCTTGTCAGGAACTAGAAACACAATGGACGAAGCAATGGTGCGAGAACGGTTTCGATTGTTTTATGAAGGTTAAGGGAGCATTCATGACGCACTGCGTAACAGCATGACGTCTCTTTTCTGGTCGCAAACGCTTTGGTAGAAGGAGCGAATGAAAATATCCCGGGGAACCGACGCTTTAGAACTTATTATCTTGCAACACATCGTTAAGTTCTAAAATCATTACTTGACGAAATTATTACATCACACTTCAGTAGTACAAGTGTCTTTACGATGAATATGACAAAGGTACGCAAGCCCCAGGTGACAGACTTATATGACCAGGGAATCCGAAAACTTGTGCCACGATACTATGGATGACACCGAAGAGCTTTTCGATTTTGCACGGACATACTATGTCGTAAACGAAAGGCGTTTTCAGAGTTTATATAATATTTATCGCTCTGGGCGCGCTGCTTCCTGACAAGGTTGATTAATTACTGTTCAGTGTAATGGAACAAGCAGTGAAAATGAATTTATGTAGTGAGAGATTGACTTACTCGTTTCAGTTCCGCTATTACGTGCCAGTCGTCCACATGAACTGGGAAAATATATATTACATAATAGCTAACGTGATATGTATTTTAATTTATTATTTGAGTAGATCGAATTCACTGTCAAAGCAACGTATATTTTTACTAAAACGGGAAAAATGACTAAACGGTTAGAGTTAGTCTATTTCTGCCATCTTTTCCACTGGATTCTCGAAATGAGAAAACATCGAGGACTTCTTTGAAAGAATTCCTGTTTCCGTCCCCGTCCTCGATGTTTTATCCTTTGAAGTGTTCGTATCTATTCACCAACACACTCGTTTTCAATTGTCTTACACTGGAATTGTTCTTTTCAATATATATATTTCTTTTCATCACCTGAAAATAAATTCTCGGAAAGCGAATCTTTCCAGAAGAGATCAGCTCAATCACTACTAAAAGTTTCGAAACTACTATCTGTAGCTCTCAATTTGCGAGCCCTTAAGAAAATTTATAATTGCGCTGGAACATACACGATCTACCTTGTATCTCCGTTCTAGTGTAAAATTTAAAATTTCATGTGTCTTAGCCTGCGTTCAAATGAAACAAAACAACAACGAAAAAATGCGAGCTGAGTAATATTTCACCCTTTTATTAATACCTCACTCTAACCTATATTTCACTTTAACCGATATTTTACTTTAACGAATCCGTCACTTTAATCAGACTCTCTTTACGCTACTGGTCAGGAAACGTTGGCTAAAGTTTGGTTAAGGACAAAAAATTGCCGCTAGGTGCGCCACTTTCTTTAGAGGTTCGCTCAAGTGCGTTTTGAAGAGGCTTATTTTTAATAACAAAATTTTTTTTTTTTTGTGTGTGTGGGGGGGGGGGGGGAGGGGGGAGGCATTTTCCTATAAAATGACGAATTCTAGATGCCATAACGTCCAGTAAACTCACAGCAATAGAAATACACTGACACAATTTTCTTTTGAAGGGCCGTTTTCGAGTCTCCGCCATTTCCATATAATGAGACCAATGAAAATAGTTAACTGCGTGGAGATTCTGAACGTTACTATTATTATTTTTTTTAGGCGCGGTGTAAAATATATTTTGACAAGAAATGAAAATATTTATGTGTAGGAGCCGCAAGGGGGGGGGGGGGGGGGGGGGGGGGGGGAGCAGCAATTGATGTTTAAAAACGCCGTCCGAAAGCGGGGTGTGTCTAAAAGAGGGTCGGATCACGATCCTTGATGAGACTTTGAATAGGGAAATCGGACTCCCATGAGCGTATTTTTTTTTAGCATGTTTACTGCTTGTGGGTTATCACCATAAATAGGCGATATCAGATTCCACTTGAGTGCCCCTTTAAAGGGACCCTGACACCCCTAAAAATAATTTTTTTTTAAATATTTTGCCAGACGATTCATTATGGTTGTCAGAAGACTAACCAATCAATATTTCGCTTCAGCGTCACATATATTTTTAATGAAGTCGAAAAACGATACTGCTCGAAACCGAAACCGAAACTGTGCTGGGGAAGAAGATAAAATCTAGAGGAGGAGAGGGAAGGCGGAAGTCAAGTGGCTGGGCTACTTTTTTTTTTTTTCCACAAACAGCGCATTTGCAGCCGTTTATAAGCCACAAAATGGGTATCATATTTCTTTTATATTTTTAAAATTGTGTGCGTGCCTTCGATGACTTAACGACTTTGATTATATTTGGTGGTTGTACCTAAACCGTAAAAAAACGGCCCGTGGCCACGGAGAATACAGTAAGTGCGACTCAAACCGGCAAGTTCTCGATCGGTTGCTTTCGGTCGGAAAGAAAAGGAATTTCGAGCCGCAAATCGTTTTCTGGGATAAAAACCTTGGCGAGCATAAATACCCAGTGTTCCTTTAAGGGGAAATTTTTGTTTGGCCCCTTCACTCTGTGTACGCTACTCTAAATCGCGGTAACGAGTGTTCACAAAAACAATCTCCACTACAATTTCTTTATACGCCTGTAGTTTATCATCTACGCAAGTACCGGTCATTTCTTATAGACTTCTAACGACAGAAACTACGCACAATCTTATTGAGACGTGCATGTCTGTCCCTTTGTCGTCCGTTCGTCAGAAAAAAAAACTATGTTTTTGCAAGCGAAAGAAAGCTAGACAGTTGAGCCTACGGGTTTGCAGTGCCTCTACTGGATGGCACTGCTTGTAGTGATGAAGTATTACGGTAATGGTGGTGATGAAAAAGTCAGTTTGAGATACGAAAACGAAATGAAAACGATATCATTTTGGAGATCGCATCAGATGTGGAAGCTTGTGCAGTTTATTTAGGACAGACTTCTCGTTGACAGGCTCCAAGCGGTGCCGGCTAGATCGGCGGCTCTGAGCAACGCCACCTAGACCTTAAGGCCTCTCCGCTCTTCTTATGACGTCACGCTATGGGTCCGGCCGCCTGCCATCTCCTCTATTTTTCAGTCATTCCGCAATGGCGGAGGAGACTATGCGGAAGTGCGTTTCATCGAATTCGTTTATATGGTCGAAGTGATTTTTGACCGGGATGATCAGTACTTGACAGTGTGTGATAAGATGTGTAATACTGTGAGATGAAAGGAATGTGCGAAAAACGTGGGCCCCTGGATACCTGCACGGAAAGGAATTTGAGGTCAGAATAAGCAGGAAACG